AAAGAAAAAAAAAAAAAAAAAAAAAAAAAAACAAGAATCTCTTTGAACGCCATTATCGGGAATTTCATTTTATATTCCCTTGAAAAACAGGAAAAGTGGATTTTTGGGGTTAGGGGCTAAAAATTTGAAAGAATGTTTTATCATCGGCAACGAGTCTATGTGCCAAGTTTCAGCTTGATAGCTGGACGGGAAGTGGGCCAATTAGCCATCCGAATATGTTGCCAGTCAGTCAGCCGCCCACAAAAACAAAAGCGAAGTGAATATAAAGGTTTTTAAAAAGAGATATAAAGTTTATTTTAAGGATACTTAAAAGCAGTTAAACTAAACACCAGTTGGCATGCATTACCCAGGAACATCTTGGTAGTAGCAACGAATGAAACGCTTATTTATAAATTGTTCACCCCTACAGCTATAAATAAAACTGCTGTAGCCACCTTTGAATCCGGTGTCAAGCTCCGTGCTTCGCGACGGCCCAAGTACACCGTTGTACTGGCTGATATTATAAGGCAATCGTAAAGGAGGAAATGTCAGTCCGACTTCCGGGTTTGTGTAAACCGGTGTCAGCGACTGGTCACTAGAGCAGTGATTGGCATCAGCTTTAACATTGTGGCCTGGTGGTTTAAGGCAGCAGTGACGTAGCCTTGATTTCTTTTTTTGTTGTTTTTTTTGGTTAGGGGTTGGTGGCTGTACAATTCCAATTTACGTAGTTATTCTAAAAATTGGAAATTAATTTCATGCTATTTTATTTACATTAATGTTTGATTTTGAAATTTGAAATAAAAAATTGACCCCCCCCCCCCAAAAAAAGTAAAAAAAAAAAGTAAAAAAAAAAAAAAAAATTATTTTAATAAAAAAAAAAACAAAGAAAAAAAAAAAAAAAATAAATTGAAAAAAAAAAATTACCCCCCCCCCCCAAAAAAAGTAAAAAAAAAAAGTAAAAAAAAAAAAGATAATTATTTTAATAATAACGTAATCACAGGAAAAAATAAAAAAAATTATTTCGTAGCTCCTATTTTTTATTTGCCCGCTTTTTAAATTTTAAAAAAAAATCTTTCCGATTTCTTACGTCTTAGAGCATTTTTCTTGCTAACATGCTGGACACAACACATGTGTCCTGTCTATGCATTACACTAGAAAACGCCCACATGTGACACGCATCTAGCAGAAAAAAGTTTGACCACTGAAGAGTTCCACTTAAAGTAAACTTTGATGGCCGATGTTTTGACAAGTAGATAAGTTCTTCTTCTTTTATATTTTGATGGCCCACGATCAATGCATTGATCAATCAGACTCCTATTTATGTAGAAGGGGTGCGCGATGCTTCTGTGCTTAGTTTTGGAGATGATATTTCACTGGTTGCAAGGGCTACTCAGCGAGGGTATCAGGAACTGGGATTTGGAAGGCAAGAAGCAATAGATGCAAATGTTTCAAGTGTTATCGCCACAACTGTTCCTTTTGGAAGCTTGTTCCAGTCCCTGATTGTCTTTGGCAGGAAGGACCAGTACCTGTACAGCGTTCTTGCTGTTATGAGCCGGAACTACCTGTCCTAGCCTCGTAGCTTTCTAGTTTGGTTGGGGGGGGGGACGACGACGAATTTCTGTTAAATGGTGGAGCAGTGGACCAGTCCATGTTTTATCTTGAATATCAGAACATCATGTAGAGCCTGGATAATCGTCATCGTTCCTCCAATAATGGCAATACTAGAGGCGCTCCTGCAGCGGTATAAATTAGAATGCATCTAAAAGACAACATTACGGTTTGTGCTTTATCCACCTAATGCCATAACTTCATTACGCTTGTTATGCACGCATATCTCGAAGAACGAAGTCAACATTCTGTAGAAACCCTAGGAAAACGATCGAATCGATTTTATACCCTGTCTGCTCGCTTCTAAGCAGTCTGGTCATCACTCTGTGCCGGTAACATCTATCATTTCAAAGTAAGCTACGCTCTCGGAATATCAGTCTTGCACAGTGCAAGACCAAGGTTTAACACTATTATTTTAAGAATATATTTAACATGTATATTTGATTTTTTTTTTAAAAATTTTTTTTTTAGATGTCAAAGAGCTCTTTGACCTTACTGAAATAAAACTAAAAAGGGTGATAGATTTGACTTAGACGTTAATCCAACAACCCCTACAAACACATTTTTTTCGTATAAATCCTTGATATGCTTTTTTATTATTCTATTTTATATTAATATTGTAATGACCCAACCTCAGATTTATTTCACCAACGATTTCAGAAAAACAAAAACAAATATTGCGCACCAAACGAACTAGTGATATATATATTTTTTTAAAGAATCTCATTTAGCGCAATAATCGGAAATTTATTTCGTGAAGTCAGTGGCATCATATTTCATTCATTTTCTCCTTGAAAAACAGAAAAATTTAATAGAAAATGTTTTCATCGGCGAGTCTGTGTGCCTAGTTTGAGCCCGACAGCTTGACGGGAAGCGGGTCACTTAGCCGTCCGAAATTTTGCCAGCCAAAAAAAATGAAAAGATTTGATTTGATTATCGATATCATGCAACATCATTCGACCACGTTTCTATATTGTTATTATTGTATTATTTTTTTAGTGGTCGTATATTGCGCGATACCCGTACATAAAAAATATTAGCAAACATAATCATGACATTAAAAAATAACATACATTTATTTAATTTAAAAAGAACAGCTGTATAACAACAAAACAAAAACAAATGTATATTCAGTCCACCCAACCCAGAACTTTTACATGTCAAAATTAAGCCCGGAATGACCTCAAAGTACGCACACACGACTCAAGCCAACTTGATAAAATACAATTTACGGACACATATTCTAAATCTCCGAAATTTTTAAGGTTCCAACAAAATTCTTAAAGACACATTTGTTAAATAGAAGTGTTCAAACAAGGATACATTTGTTAAATAGAATCGTTCAAACAAGGACACATTTGTTAAATAGAATCGTTCAAACAAGGACGCATTTGTTAAATAGAAGTGTTCAAACAAGGACACATTTGTTAAATAGAATCGTTCAAACAAGGACACATTTGTTAAATAGAATCGTTCAAACAAGGACACATTTGTTAAATAGAAGTGTTCAAACAAGGAAGCCATTTTTGGTCTCCAACATTCGTATGACGTTGTCTCACTATATGGTCAACCCTGGACTCCAGACAGAAGTGTCAGACTTGATGACACCGACTGTGCAGACTTAGTCACAACTTAGTCATGCCTTCTCAGTCAGTGGCGTAGTTTCGGGCTCATTAAAGCGTGGAGCGAAAAGGGGGTTGACCCCCCCCCCCCCCAAAAAAAAAAAAAAAAAAAAAAAAAAAAAAAAAAAAAAAAAAAAAAAAAAAAAAAA